GTTTGTCTGCACCACTGAGAAAAGCACGATGTCCCCAGCTAAGCTACACACAGTAATGGGGCATGTGGGTGCCGGCAAAGAAGGCACGGTGGACAAAATCCAGACTTGGAAGGACGTCCAGGGAGAAAGAAGCGGCTGCGAAAGAGGGTGTGAGAGACGATGGCAGTTGCGTACAGTGGAAATGTGGGCAATTGGACTTGAAGGATGGATTGAAGACAGATCTGAGATGTAGAGGAGGTGTCTGAGCAGTGTGGAGGCTGCAGAGAGGAGGAAGCGCGTGGGAATGAGTCCAAGGGCTGTTGTATATGTGCCAACTCCTCCTGGTGTTTCAGAGTCCTGCTTCTCCTGAGTGCTAGTGTGGTGATCAGAGGAAGGGAGGGGGGCTGAGAAGTCTGTGTGTGGATAGGTAACAAAATGAAGGGTTGGGGGCTGAGGGGCTGTGTGGTGATTTAGCAGTATTGTTGTATTTTATATATACCTATTTTTTTATCTTTAGTATATCACATGCATTTTTTGGACTATGTCTTATATATTACCTGACTTCTTTGTCTGTCATTGTTTTTATCATAATTATGTTTTCTTTATATATATCACTTCCTTATTTTTCTTCTGGAGAGATTCACTTAAGTTTTTGATATAGCTAATGTATCTATTCTCGATTTTCCAATCTTTAACATATTTCCAACAAATTTAATAAATAATTATTTCTTTTTTTATAGTAATCATATCATATTAGTCTCTTTCATTTCATGTTCCCTAATAACATAACAGTATATACACAGTGTGTGTGCAATGTGTCAGCCGTCTCGGCTCGTTTCCTTATCTCCTTTCAGTGTTTGATTTTAATCCAAATGCCCTTTATGACTATTTAACTCATCCTTTTCACATATTATCCTAACAACACAAAACCCTTTTCCATTTCCCCAATACTCCCATCTCTACCCACATAACATGATATTTTATTACAATAATAACAAAAACCCCCTATATTAGATCCCCATCAAAACACTGCTCAAACACCGCTCCGAGACACATATAAGGCAACAGGGCGCGCATCACTTGGGCGCCGCGCCTAATAAAATTTACACTGAGGGTGAGCAGGAGTTGGGAGCAGTGACTAGCTGTCATGTTAAAAACACCGAAATGAGACCGCGAGGTGTCGGTCGGATGCTTGCCACCAGTCACATATACGACAATCTGTGTGCAACAGTGTCTGTCTCATGTGCAGCGTCATATATGTAAACAAGGCCTTATGTATATTCCTATCCAGGTAGGAGCGGAAGGATCCCGCCTCGCGCGCATAGGAGGCAGTTCACTTGTCCATGGACAGATCACAGATAGAACATCCCCAGGGAACAACTTAACGTCATCCCAATTCACTAGTGTTAGCACCTTCGTCTCCAGTGAACCCACTCAGAAAAAGTGACTTTCTTTTTTAGCATGATATCTGTATGATGGTCTTCGGTCTTCTCCACCCCATTATAACCTATATCGAACAATCCTTCACTATTAATGCTAAACAATGTTGTAAAACGAGCATATAGTAAAAATAAATAAAAATAAAACATCCATCATCTGTGTTGTCTCCTACTATAATTTTGGAAACCCGATCGATTCCTGTTATCCCGGGATTTATTTTATAAAAAATAGAGAGCATATCTGCTCTCTAGCGCACAAAATTGGACAAGGCCCAGCCTCTCCATTCCTCGCATTTTTTTTACATTTTTTTTTATTGGTAGTATTATAGAGAAAGAAAAACATTTCGATTTTTTAAAATTGTTGCTCTGTTTTTAGACAGGAGATAGAGGCCAAGTAAAACCGCTCCCAGGTGATCTAATCACAAAAGTGCTCTATTGTGGGAAAAAAGAACATGATTCTGTTTCGCGCAAAAGTGCTTTTAGAGCGCCCCTCATCCACCGCCTACTCAAGAAGATCTCTGTATTGGTGTCACTGGTTACACACAAAATGTGTTGATCAAACAAGTGTGCGTCTATGTGTCCACCCCAATGTACACAGTAACCTACTGCTAAAAATTGCTGATATACCACTATTACAGTAAGTAAAAATCAAATAAATTAATAAAAACATAAAAACCATAAATCTTTCCCCGTAGTCAACTGTAGACTATAACTTTGCGCAAAGAACCGATCGATATAATGGTCCTATTGGATTTTTTTTTTTTTTTAACTAAAAAACATGTAGCAGAAATACATATCGGCCAACAATTGATGAAGAAAAATTGAACTATTTTTTTTTACATTATTTTTATTGGCTATGTATTATAGACAGAAAGTAAAAAATATATTTTATTCAAAATTGTCGCTGAAAATTTTTTGTTTTAGTGTTTATAAAGCGCAAAAATAAAAAAAACAAAAAAAACCTCCGCACAGGTGATCACAAATACCACCAAAAGAAAGCTCTATTTTGGGAAACAAAAGGACATGATTCTTGATGTTGGGTACAATGTACACCCGACCGTGCACACCATGTCAGTTAAAGTAACGCAGTGCACGTATCGCAAAAAATGGCCTGGTCAACGAAGGGGGGGCAAATCCTTCTGGGCTTAAAGTGGTTAATAGGAAATCTCCTTGAGTTGGACAGGGATGACAGAAAACTAATGGGTTTTACAATAACCTAACTGCCCTTACTTTATCAAAAAAAATTTTTTGCCTTCAGATTTTCTCACATTGCTAATTATACAATTGTACTATGGAACATAATTGTAACTTGGGGGGGGATGACCATGGAAATTTGCCCTTACAACATTGTAATTGGTCCAAAAAGGCAGTAAAAACATGGCTGTGTCAGTACACAAATTGTGGGTGTCCCTTATCAGTCAAATTATATTTTTGTAGGATTGGCTACACACTGTAGATGGAGTGTGGGACACTGATCATTCTGGAGGCCTGGGGGTGCAGATAACTGACTACCAGCAGGAGGATGGGGGTGGTGGCCAACCAACACAGCAAGGGGAGGGGTGCATGCGGCCAACCTGCCATGGCACAGACTGGCAAGAAAAGGACGCAGCCAAACAAGCACTATATTGGGGGAGCAGCCACTGATGTGACGCCAGTGGGCTTGGCGCGTCTGACCACCAGGAGCACATTGTGCCTCTACAATCACTCTGTCTGCGCATGAATGCTTGTCAGATGGTGGCAAATCTTCAAACCTATTGTGGGCAGGGGGGGTGGGGCTCACTGGATGAAAAGACACTTGACCACAAAGGACAAGGGGCACAGAAACACAAACACGCTTTTATTCAACAGTTATTTATAAGACCAATTTTTTTTCCTGTACTCTATTCTTTCAGTCGTCAACAACGATCCATTCCACAGAGGAGGATATTTTTACCTTGTTGTCATGGTCATCGACATGAATCCTTAACCCATACTGTAATAATTACCGACTGGACAGTCTCTGCCATTGTGAGTATTTTCTGGGGTATACATTCAACACTGACCACAATGGGGGAGTGCGGATGCAGATACTGCCGCCACCACGAAGATTGGGGGGTGCTACCAGGGCACAAAAGAAATGTGCCCACCTGTGTTCGAAGGATGGCGAGGCCGTTTAAAATATAAACTCTGCATTACCAAACCACTGAACTCTGTGATGCCTGCCACATTAAACCATTGAACTGATCTCGCACAATCATAACCCACTATAACTTCAAATTGAATGTTTCATTTAATATTTATATTGTATATTTTTTTTTTTTTCAATGTTTGCTGTAGTTTCCTATGCATTATAAAGAATGCCATCCATACGGTATCAAAGACTGTAGGTCTGTCTGTAAATCTAACTACACTAGGTTGTAAGGGGAACTTATTTTTAAAGTAAGGAATTTTGTCCTTTTCAGAAGAATTGCTAACACAGCAGCAACAGCCTGAGATCTCTTCTTCCTTGAACAGACTCTTTGTACAAAAAAGTGGGCTTCAGTACACCAGGAGGTAAGATGCAATAGCTAGTAATAATTTTTAATGGATTTTCCTGCAATAGGTCTACATAACTAGACTAACTACGAACTCAGCCTTTTCAAACTTCTGAGCTCTGGTTCACAAAACATCACTGCACTGAACTATACAATCTAGAATTCAGTAGTTTGTAAGGCAGAGTTCAGTAGTTGGTAAGTAAACTATATTAGGAGTTATAAGCAGTTTTGTGTTGGCTTATCAAACCAATGATAGCTCTGAATGCAGAGTTTTAGTAGTTGTTGTAAGGAAGAAAAGTTTACCTTACAAACCACCTGAACTTCACCCAGGTAAAGGTGAGGAGAAAAGCTGGGGACACCACCAGAGAGAGGGAGGAACCAGAAGGATCCAATGCTTTGACTGCAAGGGTGCATGGAGCCCCCCCCCCCCCCCCCCAAAACTGGAGTATTTGGGAAGAAACTTATTCAAATATTAGGCACAATTAGAGATTTTTTTTTGTTTTTGTTTTTGTGTTGTACGGTGTTTGCAGAGTTCAATAGAACTAGCCACCACAAATCTGAAGAATAACTTTTTTTGATGCCCTGGAATCGATACAACACACCACGCTTTGTCAGCCATCTTCAACACGTGCCAAGAAAGAAGTGTTGGAGAGGACCATTGTAGCCATGAATTTGCCTGCACGCAAAATAATTCAGAGGTGAGTCTACTCAGCAACCCTCTTTTTGTTTGCTCTTCTCAACTTACCAAAACACCTTTCAATGATTCACTCTTGTTGTTAATTACAGCGCAAAATGTAAGACTAACCCATAAATGTACCCTGTAACCCTAAACTCTACTACTATCCCATTTTGGCCTATGTTGATTACCTGTATTGATTTCAATATTTTAAAGTGCATACGTTGAGAAGTTGTGATCCACATGTGATGTTAACAACATCGAAGCTATGGGTGTAACTTTAAATAACTTCAATCCAGGATAACTTTCTGAACTGTCAAATAGTGTGGATATTTGCTTTCATAAAACATGTAGGTTTTACCATTTATGCAATATTAAACTGAACTTTTTGATAATTTACCTTCTAGAAACCTGATGTGACAGCAATGCACACCCTTGTGCTTCTGAGGCCTCCCCTGTTTCTACATGGTGATGACCCCAGTACATTCTACATCACCTGCTTCTGTAAGTTATCAATAGTTTTCAAAGTTGCCCCTTGGCAGTTGTGGGGGATTTGCTTTGTATTCCTTAGAAATACCAGATTAATACTTATTATATCACTAGTACAGTGGAGGGGCATGGCAGTTTATAAAAATGAATCCCTTAGTGAGGAGGGAGGGTAAAAACAAATGTTAATGCCTGAACACAATTTTGCAACTTAGACATGTACAGTGTTAGTAGAACTGTATCATTACAACTAACTTTGTGTATCCAGATGGATTATAACCCTTTTTTGTGCGTGTGTATATAGCTATCTAACCTTAAAGTGATAATTAAAGTCCTTGTGTGTTTTTTTATCTGTTTAAATATAACAAACTGGTGTTATTACTCCTTACCAAAAGACCAATTTTGTGCAGTTGGTTTTTGCACAGAGCAAGCAAGCCCAGACCCTCCTACTATTCTCTCGGTCCCACCTGCTAGCACTCGCACTCCTGGCCCCCCTTCACTCCTGCTGAGTGCCCCTACACATGCCAGCAGCTGTATGGGGCAAAATTGTGCCAAGGGCTGTGTGTGTCTATTTAGACACAGAGCAGCGGTTGGTTTCCCCAACCTTCCTCCTCTCTCCTCTCTCTCCCTCATTGGCTCACATAGACTTTGAATGACAATGGGAGGTAATGTCATGCCCCCATAGCTGTCCCTCAGTTAATGAGGACCTTGCTGTCACACAGAAGGTGCTTTCTAAAAATCCTAATGCATAGAAATGCATGTAAAATTAACAAACTGTTTAGAACCGCTTTAAAAAAACATGCTTTAAAGGAAGAAAACCTTCACCAAAAATAGATTGACTTTGAGACCCTTAACCTTGAAGCAAAAAACTAACCATATACAACACAGTGACAAATAAATCATCGTTTTTTTTTGTATAGAGCCTTCTGACAGCGCGAATGAGGTCTGGGGCACGTTATTACCTGTAGTGACAGATGACTGTACATTGATGTACAGTAAGCCTATGCTTCTTCTGCTTCTCCAAATTCATCTCCACCTTGACGCCAGTGTCTATTGCCATCATAGCCAAGGGAGGTACTGTAATGGAGGATCTCCAGAACCTATCCTCAAGCACTTTGCCTCTTCTTTGGACTTTTATATATGCTTTAAACATGGAATACCCAATAAGCCATGAAAAACACCTTTATTAATTTCATTCCAAAGAAGTGATGCATTGGCAATGTGGGAGAACAAACTTCCCACCCAAACTGCAAAGCCTGCAAGAATCTCCTGTTGCTGATTAGAAAAGTTTTTTAGGGTTTTTTGTTTTGTTGTTTGTTTTTATCTGCATGCCTGTCGACACTTGTTTTCAGTAGATCTAAAGTTAAGCATGACGTCACAGAGCCTTCAGAAACTCTAGTGTGCTGGTTTTAAATTTATTGTAAATAGATGTTCCCGAGTTGGCCAACTTTGCAATCTACCAAATGATCTGACCACTTGGCTTCCTATGCATACCAATCAACAAAATAGAAAATATAGGCATAACCTCAGTGGTTGTACAGAACGCAATACAGGCTAACGTAATTTCATGTATTCAAGCAATTGATGTTCAAACTGCCTCAAAGTAACTATCCATGATCATGGACAACTAAAACATAACCTGAGAGTGGTTTGTATGATTACCAATGTGGGCTAAACTCTAAAAACTCATTTCAGAGGTATCATAAATTGACTATTAAAAGCTGACTTAACTGCCTCAAAGTGCACTGTACATCTGCGTGGAATATACTCATCGGATGCAGTTGTCTAGTTTGTATGATCTCTACAGTATAATCATATGAGCAATGAGTATAATATTCCATGTAAGTACAAAATATGCACTTTGAGGCCGTTGGTAAACTTTAAATATCACTTGTGATATATGGCAATGGAGCTATGCTCTATTTTTTCTAATTTAGGTGATTTGGTATGCACAGGACCAGAGCCTGTACATCACATAATTGATACAGTTGGCCAGCTTGTACAATCTCTATAATATCAATCGCTAAAGTGAGTACCTTCTTTCACTAGTTCCTACTCATATAGACCTGTAAAAAAGGTCCTTTACTTGATCAGGCAGCAGTTAATTTAGTGGACCTATTGTGAAGTAAGGTGTATAAATGGCATGGAGAGAAAACTTTTGCTACTATTAAAATGGTTGTAAACTTCATACAGTGAAATATGAAAAATCAAAAGTATAATCCTCTATAAAGCTGATGTAACTTGTCTCCATTAAAATCAAATGAGTATATCATTTCATATCTGCTGGCTAGGTCATTTCTCCATATCGGCATGAATCACTTTCTGACAAAGTTTTTTTTTTTTCCCCTGACACCACAGAACAAAAGGTATGACGTGGAGGGCCCCCTCTAGCCAGTTTGACAGCCTCAGCTCTGTTCCTGTGAAGGAGGTGTCTCAATTCCCACCACACTGTTCTAGGCTTCTCCTCCACTGAATTTCTGCAAGAGTTTCATTTCAAGCTCTCCGTCCTCCACCCTCTGTATTACTTCGTGAAATATCGGACACAAGCTTTAGAATATAACACAGCACTTTAAAATGGCTGTAGTTTTGAAGACTTTGCAGAATTAACAGGTTAGTTACTTGGTGAAAAGTGAGGATGTTTACATCCTCTGTATCCACCTAAGAATGCCAGTCACTTCATTCTAGGGTCAGTATTTGATAAGGTTTAAACCAAGACTTCTAAATAATTGTATGATAATGAACTAATTTAAAATAGGCAAAGTCAATTGGGAAAATACTCTGTGATTATTTTGTTTGTCAGGTTTTAAAAAAACCAAACCAAGCATCAAACGTTTATTGTTTATTATGGCATGTTTGCCTTACTTTAACAGTTTGTGTAATATGTAATATGTTAAATTCACGATACTGAAGGGCATTAAGAACAAGACCCCTACTGTATGTGCTCTCTGTTACAGCAGACTGTTTTTTTCTATATATATTGTTTTTTTTTTTATACAGCTATAAGATTCTATTATAACACTGTAATAGACGGTACAGCGAACTTTTGTTTTAGTTGCCTTTATAGTGTGACGTTGTGCTTTGGACGTGTTGTGTGGTGTCAAATCTTACGAGTCCTAACACATCACTGGCTGGGGAGGGATCACCAACTGACATCAATTAGTGACACCTAATCAGAGCTACAGTGATCAGACAAATAATGTACAACTGTATTAAATGACACTGAACTGACCGGGGGGGGACCGGGGGGCCACAGGGGGGCTGACCGGGGGGGGGGGGGGGCCGGGGGGGGGGGGGTTATCTGTTGAAGTGTCATGTGTGTCTTCTGTGGCTGGCTGTTTAACAGAGTTTAGTAGTCAGGGAGATGAAGAAACACAACCTCTGTTCCACAGCACAGTGATCTGGCTGTGTTCTGTGTAAACGTGATTTGAAAGTTTTGAAAGAGACGTTAGCGAGCAGCAGTTTTCAGCCTCATTCAAATTGGCCCTGAAACCTGTTTTGATTGATGTGTACTGTACTGGGCATCCAATCATAATCCCAGCCTGGGTAGGGTGGCCAGGGGGTGCCAAACCCAAAACAGGCCCTATGCATACGTTAGATAGCTGGCCTTGCCCTCACGGCTTGTCTGCAGTATTGGGCAGATGCAAGAGGTTAATGGAAAAATGGATGTTTGGATAAAACTAAAAAAAACAAGTACGCTTACTTGGTTTTTTTAAAAGGCAATCAATCAGGAATCCTCGGTTTGCATGGTTATTTAGAACCATAAGTAAATAATCGATTGCTGATCAATAACCACAACTCAATGATTCAAGATTGCAGAAAATATCACATTTATTAGACCCCAACCTAAATAAATAAATGTGTCCATTGGAATACATTACACAGTAAACTTAAGCTTAAAATTGATGTTGTTTATGTTTAGAAATGTCAAATCTGTAGTATTTCCCATACTAAGTTAGGAGGTTCACGCTACACCTACCGTAAAATTTTCAAGTAATATTCACTAGTTTGTTTGTTTAGTTTTTGTAATGATCTAAAGGAGTGTAAGTTCACGCACACATCTATTCAAAAGCATATTTTAATGAAGAAAATACAATTCTCTATTCTAGTTTAGATCTTTGGTTTTGATTGCAATCGGCATATCGGTTTGCATGCTTATTTTTTAAGTAAGGTTTACTAATTGGGATTTTACAGTGATGATGTCTTCTGTCTCTGTATCTGGAACGGAATGTGTCCAGGCAGAGAAGAATGACATCACATCGCTGCCCCTGTGTAAAATGTCAAGCTACAGTGACCAGTAATAGGACAAGGGACCCTATCCATCTGATTTCACGGCATTCAGCCGAGATATTCAACTGGCTGAAATCTAATGATTGAACCCCTCCTGGCGATCGCGAATCGTTAGACACCACATCTTACAACCCGTAATGTATTCCCCGCTATAGTCGTCGCGGGTAGCGCGTAGGCCCCTAGCTCCTCTGGAAAGTGTCGTGTATCGCGGTAGAGACCGGACGTTTATTAAAACGATTGGTTATTGCGACTCCCAGCACTACTGCCAGCCAGCATGCACCCGTTATATAAACAGTGGCAGGGCGGGCAAAAGCAGTTAAAGGGGATCCTTTACTTACTAAAGTTGTTACAACACAATTAAGTCAATCTGATGGAATAAGACACTAGTCGATACACACAATATAATCTGGATATATCATTTATAAAGTGGAAAAGTTGATTCCAGGGGGAATATGCAGATTGCCTCGCTAATCGGTCTCGGGAGTTCATTAAGGTGAATTTTTTTTTCCCCTGCAGGAGCAAGATTGGATCATGCTTTGCTGGGGATTTTTATGCCTTCCTCTGGATCAACCTGTGGGTGTAGGATTATAACTTTTTTTTAAGTTAATCGGTGTAACTCTTGCATGCAGACTTTTGTCTTTTTTTTTTTTTTTCGAAAAGCCCGACTTAACTATGTAACTACTCCTAGAGATTGTAAAGCTCGAAAGAGCAGGGCCCTCAATCCCCTCCTGTTTTGCATTGTATTGGTATGATTCTGTACACATTTTGCTTCCCCTGTTCCCCCTTTGTAATTGTACACAAAAACACATGAGCTAATGTCCAATACACAGCTACACGCTGGCGAGACTATTGCGGCTCTTTATAAATACTGTTAAAATAATAATAATGTAACTATTCCCACAGTGCTATCCAGATGGAAGGCATAAACCCCCCCAGATATAACATGATCCAATTTTTGCTCCAACAGGGGAAACATAAAAATTCCCTCTTTTTGTTCCCCTGAGAAGGCAATTGGATATTTCCCTAAATTGTCATGGCAATTGATGTGGATTACTTGGGAAAGCTGAAACTAGAAACTGGATGACATGGGACAGTAGACTAAATCCTCGGGACTGTCCTACAGCATGCCGGGCACACATCTTGGCAACAATGACAAGGCTGGTGGTGTGTCACACTGACGAACGTACGAGACGTTCCTGGTCGGGGCACAGGTAATAAAATAAAAGCATTTCCGCTACCTCTGAGTCTCCAAGAGGTGGTGATCTCACTTGCTATGTCTTACACGCCAGACAGGAAGTCTCTATGGAAAGACAGGAAGTGATCACAGGTATAAATAGGAAGTTCTGGATCTGGTGTGAGTGAGAGAGGTGAGTTTGAGAAGAGAAGTATAGAGGAGAGATTGGTTTGGAAAGCTGAGGCTAGCTAGAGAAGGTAATAAGAATCATTATATTTCTATTTACACACTCAGTAACCCCACTGCCAGAGAGGGCTTGATTTGCGGATACAAGTGTCATGTCTGGCCTCATTTCCTCCTCCTTTTTTCACTGTGACTACGTCTTTTATCTCCAAGACAGCAGACATGATTGACACACCACGTATTTTATAGTGTGTGGAAACCCTAGATTATCCACTTCAAGGTCACGGATATTTCCCTATCTTTACATTTACGGGCCAGAACATTGTGTCCTCATTGTCGGGATTGGGGGGTGAGGGGGGGGGGGGGAGTGGGAGATGAGGTGCGGGGATCATCTTAGCAGTCTCTTGTGACGAAACGGATGAGCTTCAGGATTTGGGTTGAAGTGAAATTCTGACCACCGCAATTTTCATGGCCACCAATTCCATGGCCCCAACATTTTATGGTAGAATTGATGATTGCATGATTAATTTTGCACGTTTCAGCATAATGTTCTGCATCGTCATAATGTTCTGCGTAGCCGTTTGGACCCTGGAACCCTGTCAAGATCGAAACAAAACCGACCAGTAATTGGAGAATGGA